GTCTCGTGCACGACATACGGCGAAATTGTACGCGGAATAACGATCATCGTTTACTCTACGCGCCAAACTGGCGTTGCTGCTTCTCGTTCGAGATGCCTTTTGTAGCTAGACGTCAACATCAGCTGCTCGAGCGCGACGAAAACGATCCGATTCCTTTTTTCAAAGGGCCACGCCCGATTCCTTGTAACAGTCGTTCACTCGAAACTTTATTCGCTCGATACGCAGACTGTTGAACTTTGAACCAAGTTTACGAAGTTATTGGTCTTGGAGTCTGTAGCACTTGGGCGCGATACCTTGAACCTTGACGAAGCCACAGAAAAATGCTTACAAGCATTGCACTTTTATGCGACGAATGACCAAATCGTTTCTTAAAAATAATCTCATAGAAATTGTACAAACCTTGGCACATTGTTTTTTACATTCTTTAGCCAGACGCGATTAATTCAGGTGGTTAAACTCGGGAGGAGACAGAAGACCCAGAAACAGCATTCTCAGAAGTTTCGCGAGCACAAGATCGCCACAGGGGCGTATCGTCGGTCCGTTGTAGGAAGAACCGGAGGCGATGGAACGGCTAGTGGAAAAAAGGAGTCGGGCGTGAGAACGAGGCACGGACGAATGAACGTTGAAAGAGGGGCGGTGGAACAGGTTCGCAAATAAGGAGTACGGGGTACCGAGTTGCGAAGCAGAAGAATGCTCTTGACGTTGACAACGATGGAATGAAGCTGTCGCCGGAGAACACCATAGTTTCTACGGCTTTTTGTCGTTACCCTCGTTGTTCGTTTTTTTTTTTCTTTTTAGGAAGATAGCCGTATTAATTTCGTGCCTCCAGGAAATAAACGCAGCCGAGAGAACTTTTCAAACTTTTAAATCGACTCACCGTGGCAACGTTTACGAGCATTCATTGCGTTTAGTTCGAACGAGCCTTTCCTTGTGCCGCGCGAGGAAAGAACGGCCGACGATCAACCAACTGCAACGTTACCGACTGTGGCTTTAAACGAGACTCCTGTGTAAATAATGTTTCCTGTTAGCACGCTTATTACACGCGACCGTCCTCTCGCAGGACTTAGATACCCGTTAGAGGGATGATATATTAACTCCAGCTACGAGGCCCTTTTGTTCTCTCCGGTTATGAATTCTGTATAAACAGGGGTTAGGGCGAGAGATACGTGTGCGAGCGTGCGTGAGCGGACGTAGCCCTGTGTTTGTCGTTTGAACTGTGACTGTAGAACGGGCACGTTGAGTTTTAGTTGAAGCTTGACGCGGAGACTACTCGGTGCAAGTTGAATAAAATGTGCTTTCCTAATTGAGAACGCGCCTCGATCGTGACACGCGCTCTCCAGAGCCTCTCGAGACGCTGCACTCGTAATTAGTCGACACGCTGAGTAATGAATTTTTAAAATTCGACGGCAAGTCCGATAAATCGATGCGATTGAAGCATCTCGCCCACGGCCAACGATTGAGAGACCGTGGACGGACAATCGTAACGTGTCGGCTCGGAAAGTAACTTATTTTAATAAAGACTCGATAAATTGCAAAGTACTTTGCTAAAACGATTACAGCCGTGGGAAGTAGCTTTTAGCGCTACAATTACGTTCGCCTTGGCCGTTACTCCGCGTCGACCGTGCAACTATTCCAAGATCCTTTACGGCTTCTTTCCGTTTCACGTTGCTCCCAGACTTTTACGTCGATCACGTCTTATTCCCGCCCTTTTGCGCGGATCGTCGTTTTCGCGGGTTACACAGATTTCCCTACCCTTCGCACGTGCTCCACATTCGCGAGCAGCGAGTTTCAATGATCCGTTGAAGGTCTGGAATTAGAGGAAGAAGCACAGAGTCTGGCTGAATTTTACAACTTCGCGATACTCTTTCGACGAGCTAACTCTGTCACGAGCGCCTAGTAAAATCAACGTTTACGTTCATCTCCTACACTTTCGCCTCCAAGTCTTTTTTATTCCCCGTTTTCGTAGAAAAATGAACTAGTGCACGCGGCTACTTTTATCGATCATAAACGAAGGTATACAAAAACGTTTGATTAGACGATATTCGATAGAGCTACTATGTCCCCTCTGACCATCATTTTCCATAACGTATTTTACGTTTTATAATCACGGTTCCTTCTTCACGGGGTCGCGGCGAGTCGGTCTGAATCGTAAACTTAATCGCATACGACGGGATTGCTTTCCAGTTTCTATTCGTTGGTGCTCGAATGAAGGTAATTCCGCCTCGTCGCGAGAACAATGTTACCGTTGGCCTTCGTTCGATCCGACCGCCAGATATACTCGCGGGATGACCCAATCTTCGGACCGAGTCCAAGTTCTCTTCCATTTCCGGATAGAGCACGATCGCGCAAAAACTTCTTTAATCTCCCAGAAGATTCGAGAAACGTTCCTCGCAATATCGGTTACCCAACTTGGACGAATCGAGTATACGGAATTTGCGAGGACCCGTGGAACGAGTAAACGTTTCTGGTGGTTTTCGAGGGTCGTGAAAATTTCAGCGAAATGTGCGACGTTGTTCTCGTAAATCCTCATGCATCACCGACATAAACCGATATATAGAGCGAGTCTAAACAGCTCCTCGCTGAATAAATAACGTTTCCAACGCAACGTCTACGCTTTTAACGCGTTGGTCGGGTATACTTGTTTCTTGCTGCGAGATCAGACATCCTGTTTCGCAGAGGCGAAAGAAAAATTATTGAATGGGGCGGTGAGTGTCCATGTAATTCACAGAAAATGGGATGCAAAATTTAAAAAAATCTTTTGAAATATCAGTTGATTAGATTTGAAACGAGCGTGTACGCGGAAATACGTTGAACGTTTATTCCAATATATATTATGGTTCCGCGTTGGTTTCTTTTTCGAAGGTAAAGGGAGGATGTTGGATAGGAAAGAGGGAAAATAGCGAAGAATTCGGACAGGCTGGAAGGACACAGGGATGCATACGATGTTTGAATGTGGGTAAGGTAGCTTGCTGCTGCTGGAATGAACGGGTGTAAAACTAGAATGAGGCGTAGACGTGACGGCGCGGCGGGGCCGTGAAGCGAATCAAACGATTTTACGCTCCAAATTTCAGCTCTTTGAATCAGCCAGCGCGGAGAAGCCTAGAAAAAGCGGCAAAATGTACAGTTATTTCGATTTTCGCCGAAGTATATTCGTGTTCGTAGAGTTACTTGTCCCTCTTAACATTTCCACTGTAAGAACAATCCATAATATTACTCCAAGGGATCTCGGTTTCTTTGCATGGTGGCGACCAGAGGAGATTATAATTCTTGCAACAATAAAAGTTTTACCGTGCGATCCAACGCTGAGTTGAGCATAGAAGTGTAAACATTTGGTAGGTTCGTTAAGAATATGCTAAATTCCCGGCTACATTAAATTGCCATTCGTTGACGTTATTTTAAGCGTATTTCCACCTGCGGGTGGGAAAACAGCGATAACAGGAGAAACGGCGATTCTCCCATTAATGCGAAAATCGTATTTGCAATAGTAAAATACAGTTAAGCAAACACAGCTGTGCTGCATTGCGTTCTCCCAGCGTAGTTTAATGACGTCGGAGGTAGCTTAATTCTGGTCTCTTTACATCTCACTAATTAGTAAATATGCTGTGTATTTACCGTACACGGTTTTATAAAGTTTAGTATATTCACGTGTCTGCTCGCGATAATTCCGACTGTAAACATTTTCTATTCGTAGTATCGCCCGCGTCATTGGTTCGCCTACTTTCCCCGAGATGCTAAACGAACAAAGTACTAAACCAACGCTTTATTAATTTTTGTAGAACACTCGCGGGTCATTGTATCACCGCTCGCGTACTTGCTCGAAAAGTAGATTTTCATAAATGCTGCGTTTACCTTTCGGTAACAACGAAGGGGTCGTTAACCGTATCGCTTTCTTCGGAACGAGACGAATTCAACGCCCCCGCCAATCGTTACAGTTACCAACTCGCGCGACTGTGACTGACGGGTGTGTGGGTGTATGCATGTCCATTCAGGTGACGAGCCCTTGGAAAATCGAAGCGAGAAAAAATGTTCAATATTCAACACAGAGGTAGAGAAAAAAGTCGTCGGAGTGCGCGACGAACGGCTAAACTCGTAAGAGTACAACGAGAGAATCGTATTTATATTCTCTTTGGAGGAACGTCGATTCCTTTTCCGCATTTCCTTACGAAATACATGTATTATTTCCTGCCTTCCGAGCTCATACGCGTTCCATAAAGGAGTCCCTCGACGTTCGACCGAATATTTGCAAAAAGACGAAAACGCGTATTCAAATACAGGTACGTAATCTATATCGAACATCCTGAGTCGTAGGAAGTCCAACCAGGGGTGCATTTATCATCGGGTTAACACGATTCATCCCTGGCTCCTCGCGCAGAAAGTACCCTCGGGAGCTCCTCCCTCGTTCACTTATCAATTCAACTATTCGGAAGCATCGGAGATTCTCTAACTTTACCATTCGGAGGCATAGCGGAAACGTTGTTTCGTTCGTGGAAAATGGTGGGCGCTTGAAAGAAAAGAATGAACGTATCAATTCCGCGTACGACAAGCATCCGTTGGCGGGCGAGCATCGCGCGTTTTATGATTATGTACGTTGCATGACGCGCACCGTCTGGGAGGACTTTCATTGAGCGGACAAACCCCTAGGCACGGATTCGAGAGGAAAAAATTGTCGATACGAAGTAGGGGTTTGGGCATGAAGCGAAGGGGAATAGGATGGTTGAGGGTGAGCGTAGAACGGGCAGTCTGCCAGAAAGGACGAGGCAAAAGGTGGGATGAGGTCCGATCGTGGGCATGCATCGAAAGAGAGCGACGAACGCGAAAGGGGAACGTTCGAGAGAGACGAGGTTACACAGAGAGAATAGGAGGGTTAAAGAGAGAGAGAAAGAGAGAGTGAGGGAGGAAGGGTGGTAGAGGGAAACAGACAAGCTAGAGTTGGCTGGGATCCGCGGATAGCGGATTGGGATGGATGGGTTGATTGATTGGGCACGCTTGTATTGTTTCAGGAGGAAGCTGAATCGACGTAACGGTCTACGCCAGGATGGCCAGTTGGCCGTTGAGAATCGTACTCCTGTCCAGCGCCCTCATCCTTGTCCGCGGTAAGTAAGAACACAAATCGTTGGCTGTGCCCGTGGAAATGATTCCTCCTGGCCGTTTCGTCGTGTTCGACCGTCAGCCATTTCAGCGACCGGGCTCGGGCAATACCGTCGGGATGCCTGTTTCGCGTGAAGAGGGGGTGGAAGAGGGAAAAGGGAGTGCGTTTAGCCGAGTAAATATTTGCGTCGCTGAACGCGAAGCGAGAAAATGAGACCGGCGCTACCGCATCTGCCTGGAACAGAAAGTATTTCGGTAATAAAGTGACTTTTTCCGGGTAGGAATTATTTACTCCGGACGTCTTTCAAAAATAAACCTAACCGAGGAAGGTTAATGAAACCATTGACAAGAGGATTTAATTGATAAAAATAGAATTTTTAATATCGTTACCCTCTGGACCGACTTCCACGCACGTTGGATTACTACACGGACACTCGCATCCTACTTCCGTTTCCGTTGCTCCTTTCTCAACGGGCGCAAGCTTCGACTTTACCGCCGAACTGTTCCGGTGATTGATTTTCCGTAGCTCCGCAATCCACTCGGTGTTGCTTTCCTAACAACGAAACTACCGCAGGTATTCCTTTGAATTACGAACGCAATTGTCATCCGATCCATACATTCATTTTCTACGGGATGCAAGATGCTAAAAAGTCGGAAAGTATTATTTTTATAGCGTTTCGTATAGGCCAGCTCGGTAAAGTCTAACGTGTCCGTGCAATAATAAGGAAAGTACTTCCGTGGGTACCTGTTCTAATAGCCGAGAGTGTAACAAGTGAAACTTTCCTTTTAAGAGTGTTTTACTGTACACAGAATAAACAGAGCGACGCTGCTCCTTTTTCTTCTGTAAAACTTTCCCGGTACAGCTGCGCGCGAATGCAAGCTCCTCTGTTCGACATAATGCTGCAACAGGAGGCGACGACACACTGTCAGTCGCCAGAATGCTCGGCATGCTCGACTCCTACTCGACTAAAATATTCGGTCCATGAGAAATCCTAGACGTTCGATTCGATTCAACAGTTGGGTAGTCGGGAAGTCTCTAGCACGCCTTTAGCCTTCTACGTACTTCCAAATTGTACATCGAAGGAATTCGGATTCTTTTTCTTCTTTAAACTTGCTGCCGGTGTTTTCCTTTACGCTTGTCTCGTCCGTCTTACAACTTTCAACGTTTACGTCTATCCGAAGTAAATAAATATTCTAGATTCGTACGAAGATATCGAATTCTCTCGGGAGCTTTCGTTTCGCGGTGACGGAGCCGCCGGTGATGTCTTTGCCATCGGTTGGAGGTAAACGGTTTTATTTATTGCACTCTTATAAACGTCCCAGAGGGCATTAAAACGCCGATAAATTCAGCGGAAAAACACACCTAGATCATCCAGCTCGATACTTGTTGCAGAGTATCCTCGGCCACGATTTTCCTTCGTTCCATTGTTTCTTTCAACCCTCGTCTGCTTTCAGCGTTCACCCCTGCAACGAACATTAGCGCAATACCACGATCTTACTCGTAATTAAATATCGTACTTGGCAAACTGGAACGATATAAACTTCCGCGTCAAGTTTACGACTGCCGCGGAAGTTTCCTGATATTGAATATCATCGCGAAAGACGTTTCATAGTTGAGTCTCCCCCGACGCTCGTAGAAACTTTTTAATCGTCGCTGGCCGGGCACGAATGTTGTTCCAGGCTCGTTCTTCTCTATTTTCTCTCTCTCTCTCTTTCCCGTGGCATCGAACACGAGATACGTTTGCCGCGGGCGATCTCCGGAAATCGGCGCGGGAATATCGGATTCGTACTATTCCAGCCGCGAAGTCCGTCTTTCAACGTGGCTCTCCTTGTCACTTTCTCGGTCGTTTGAAGACGGAAACGAAGGAACTCACGTGGACACACGAGTCGTGGTTGGTAGTCGGTTTGCGGCCGTAAGCCGTTGAGAAGAGGAAAATAGTGGAGAAAGAGCGTGGAGTGATTTGGAAGGTAGCCGCGGTCTTGCTAGGGGCTGGGGGTGCCGGTGGGACAAACGAGGAGAGAAACGGCGCGATGGGGTGGTTGAGGTGGATACCGGAGGAACTAGAAGTGGAAGTGGAACTGGAAGTGGAAGTGGAAGTGGAAGTGGAAAAGGGAAAAAGGAAGAGTAAAAGAAAGTAGAGGAAGGCGGTGTGCGAGGGTGGTGTTAGTAGCGGCGATGGTGGCTTAAACGAGAGAGGAGGGACGGGTGGTTTCTTAAAGATGTGAGCCAGGGCGCACTTGTTGCACGGAAAAGGAGTATGGGCGACGCTAAGGAAGGAAGGAAGGAACTGGCGTGTGCAGGCTCGGCAGCGTGCAGAGGGGAGGAACGGGATTTCCACGGGGGTGGCCAAGAAGGGGAGAAGAAAAACGACGGAGGGTAGAGAAGGAGATTTGACGGCGGCGAGAGTTGCCGGTGGAAGGCGAGGAAAAGATGCAAGGGCGAGGCGCGGCTTGGGAATCGAATTGATTCTCTTTTACGGGCTCGCGTTACTTTCCTTTACCGTCTCGCGATCCTTGCCTCTTGACCGGGCTTCTTTCCACACCCCCTCGCACCCCATCCGTAAACTCCTCCACCTCGCCCATGTTATTTATTTATCAGCTCTCGCACGTATCTTTCCTCGTCCTCGAGTAAAGGACCACGCGATACTTCTCTTTACCTTTACCTCTTTCTCCCGTTATTTCTTGTCTCGTTTCTCACTTTGCTTTTTTTCTCTTCTATTCTCCACGCCCCGTTCAAGTCCAGTCGATCTCTCTAGTCGTTGTACCCAACTTCCTCCTCCATTTCTTTTCCTCGCTATTCGACGATGAAAGGCAGTTCTTCCGCATCGACGCGAGAAATCGACACTCGCCAATTGCACCGACGGAGAAGACTTATTGGGATTCCTTGTGGACAACGATCCTCTAAATCGTCGGCGATCGATCCTCCGGCGACCAATCGAGACGATTCATTGGGTACGGTGAATATTGTGTAACGTATGAAAGCGCCAGTCGTACGACTTTTTCTATGCGATTGTAAGAAACTGAGAGTGACTCGTGAACGAGGCGTATCAATGAAAAACGAATTAGATTTTGCTGGAAAACACGAAAGAGGAAGAACGGTGCACTCAAGTTTATTAGCCGTGAAACACAGACGGAGTAACAGCTACTCCCTAGGATAGGCAGCAGTCCATTGAACTTTTGGGTCGAGAGAATTCACCGTGTTACTTATTTATCAGCACCTACGCGTATGTGTAACGTAGCTACATCCGCGTAAAGAACCACGCAGCCATCGACCCTTGGGAAAAAGGCACTTTCCACGCGAGTGGATAGAATCACCCGGTCCGGATTGGATTGGAGCCTCAACGAAAAACTTATTGGGATTCCTTGCGGATATAACAGGGTTCCCTGGTCCGCTTTCACCAGGAAGCACGACGAACGAATCGATCGGCGTCGATGAACGGGATCGCCTACGGATTACATTAGTCGAAGAATCGGTATTGCGCGGATAATTTCTCGCAACTTTGGCAAATTACGCTTTAATCGGGAGGATTAAACGCGAAAGAGAACCCCTTTGCTCGCTCGAATTACCAAGAAACTGCAGAGCGAAGACTATCGAGTAGCCTAGACAAAAGGTATCGACGTGTGGTGATTACCTTGCTCTAGGTTGAACTCTGGGAAATAGAGCTTAAAATAGTAGCTTAAAATCATCACGGTACAACGGAAAATGTATCGTCACTGGTTGAATTGTAAAAGGATATCGGAGAAAGAACTCTGTATCAAGAATCGTCCCTATGGATTCACGTACGTTCTTCGCTTGGATGACATTTTATTGATTTCGAGACTATCGCGTCTCGACTGTAGCAGGAGATTTTCTCAGTGACTTCGAGACTATGGCAGGTTGAATCGGAAGATGTTGCAACCGTGAGTCGATAATTCGGGCTCCGCTCGGCATCACCGTCCTCGTGCGATCCGTGGATCTATCCAATCGAGAGTATTCGAGGCTGGAAACTGTCCAACATCGTTCAGAATGTTCACATTCGCCGCGGAATTCGATTGGATTGGTTTTTCTGGAAATTTAACCGAGCTTATGATTTCGGGAACGGCCAGAGGACGTTTTTACCGTCGTTGCAGCATTCCACGACGCGGCCGAGCGATCATCGAATCTCGACGACGTGCCCGTGTCGATAGCCTTGCAAAATAAATTGCAATCCCCCACGGAACGCCTCCCGTAAATACGCCAATAGTGAGACGAAGGATCCCGTTGTGCGTTCCCGTGAAACTTTTCCGCGAACGATTAACACGAAACGAAGTGTGTTATCCGGTTCTCAGGCGATTTTTTTTTTTTTGCGATCATCGGCGAAGAATCCGCTTTTATCGGCGAGAAAACCTTCGAGCGGGCAGGAAACTTTCATAAAAGAATTCAAATTAGTCGATCCTCGGAATTTAACTACCCCGTTCGGGGTTCCCGATGAAATTTTCGCTCGAGAGTATTGAACTCGACGGCTACCTATCCGGGTCCAACGTGTGCCTTATTTTTACAATATCGATTTCCTTCGCCTCTTTGATGTTGGATCTTGCATTATTCAACGACTCCTTGGTTCGCGCTATTTCAGCTCTCATCATGTGTGGAACATTACGGAACCGCGTTAATTTATATTTGACTAGCTGTGCCCCGCAGTTTCACCCGCGTGGAATACCAACGTTGCGACCCCCTTTTACTCCCTTAAGGGTTGAATTTCGAAATATCTTATTCTTATTCCTTGGATACATCATAAAGGAAACCTCTGTGGAAAATTTCAGCTTTTTAGGTTCAAGGGTTTAGCCTGGACGTTGATTGTAATCAGTCAGGGCTTCATTCTTATATATAGAGAGTGATGATTTTGCGAGGAAAAAATGAATCGAAAATAAGCAACAGAGTTTTTTAATTTGAGCTTTCAATCTTGAGTCTTGAATCTCCTTGGAGCACGTGTACGACTTAACCAGCGTGTTTGACCATTACTCACCATTTCTACTTGTATTGTTAATT